CTTGTTTTGATAGGCAAGCTATATCACATATATAATAGATAGTGTTAAATCAGCAGTGAGAACCCAAGCAGGAGACTTTGCAGGGTTTTTGTCATACGATGCTTTACAGCTTCCTTTCAACTCAGTGACGCTACTGTTAAGTGACAGGTAAGGCTGATTCTTTCAAGCAACCCCGATGTGTAGAATACGCCTGTAAGAATTCTGACAAGACTTGATTGTACCACAGTCAAGCAAGATACAAACTGGGCTCACAGTGTTCCAGCAGTGTTCAAGTAATTGATTTTTTTTGCTAATTCCTTTAAGCCAGTGTACACTGGAACATAACCATTTGTTTAGCCACATTCAGATTATTGCTTGACCAAAATAAGCTGGGTGAAAAGCTAAGATTATCATTATCTTTCTCTTTGCTAAAAATGTAAGCGTTTTAGATTGTTTTCACACAAACATAAAGATAACACAAGAAATAGAGTTCTTGAAAATCTTACGGTATTTACTTTAAAACTAATATGTGTTGTAGCGTGATGAAATCGAGTGCTCGTCAAAATAATATATATTTATTTTAAACGGTAGTTCTCGCCCGTTAGATAACTTTTATCGAATTTCATTTTTGGCTCATTACCTTTAATGTCTATTCAAAAACACATTTCTGTGGGGATTTGACTTTTGAAAAAAAAAGTTGATCAAAGGCGCAAAATATAAACTTTTTCAGTTTCCAAGGACATTCAAGCTTTGGAAATCACCTAATTTTCTCATTGATTCTAATAATAATAATAATAATAATAATAACAATAATGATAATAATAATAATAGATAGCATTTGTATAGCGCAAATCCCCGCTCAACAACAAGCTCTATGCGCTTCACAATCTACACTATTACCCCAGCAGACCTGAGAGCATTCTGAAACAAACTCAACTTCCTGGGAAGCATACAGTGCAAGCAGCCATTTTTAGGCGCTAAAACACTAACATACTGACAAGATCTTTCGCTGTCTATGGCCGGGTACCCATTTCCACCTGGGTGAAGTGAGGAAAATTCGTGTAAAATGCCTTTCCCAAGGACACAATGTCGGGCCCGCGGCTCGAACCCCGACCCCGCAACCTCACGATTACGAGTCCGGTAGCCTAACCACTAGGCCACTGACGCCACAAGGCGACCCCCACCTCTTTCATTTGTAATTATCTCGATTTCTGTTTAAGATAGATTGGTTCTTTTTCATCAAAAGCTAGGCAAATGAAAAAAACTTTAAGATTACACCAATAACGCTAAATGCCTCAAAATTGACTAGAACTTAATTCCATCTCGTTTTGACACATATTAATACAGTTCACATTTCAGAGAATTACGTTTACAACTAATGGTTACCAGGATCCTTGATTCCACAGTGGTGTAAAAGAACGTCGATCAGAAGGTGGTTGAGACTGAGGCAGAGAAAAACCTTTTGACGGAATTGCGACGACCTGCCTGCCTTTTCCAAGCCAAGGACGGTGAACTTGTGGGAGACTGTCTTTTATAGACAAACCCGATTGCAGGAGGTCGGCGGGAGTTCGTTACCAGCAATATGAGCAGCACGACATGCTGTTGATGACGAGGGGGAATGCAGCTCTAATAACCAGCGTGCGTCCTCACAGATAGGCCATTCCACAGATTAATCATAGAAGACAGAATACACACTTAAACTTATTGGCAAATCGGGTACGTTTCTAGAAAATCCGGGTGACAAAGTTTGACAAGAATATCGAGTCAATTATTGGGAAACTAAGATAGGCGTGTTGACGGGCGCATTGGTTCAATTTTGTTAGTCGGTCGCATGGAAAGCGTGTACTTATTTATTAGATTATGAAACATTACCCCCCCCCCCTTTTTTTTTCTTCCAGCAGCTTCATAAAAACGAAGTTAACGTGAAACTTACTCCAGGAGGATTCATATTTCAAAAGTGTGTGCGGGACACATAACATCCTGTTTATTGAGCCACAAATCTCCCAAAGCAGGGGATCCTTAGTGGCCAATTATTTCCTTCATTCGCTTTTACGTTTACCCGTCTTTCGATACTTTCGTTTCAGAACACGTGTGGTGGGACATTTCAGAGACCCATACTCAGCACTTTTTAAGGACACATGAGCAAGTGTTGAGTTCCTGTGTGCTGTCGGCATCGCTGACCGCTTATGATCCCACGCGACCGAGAGAGAGAGAGAGAGAGGGAGAGAGAGAGAGAGAGAGAGAGAGAGAGAGAGGGGGGGGAGAGAGAGAGAGAGAGAGAGAGAGAGAGAGAGAGAGAGAGAACTCTTTCGACAACTATTCACGCCCTTAAAATGACTGGGTTCTAACGTCACTTTTTGCTAGAACAGCGTTACACACTACACATTACTGATACATAAGCCCTGCATACTGTGTCACCGGCTCGAGACCCTGGCCTGTGTTTTTAATTAGGCGCTTTAAAAAAAATCAAGCATTTTGGCTAAAAAACTGAATTTTTAAAACCCATTTTCTCAATACTATGCGACATGAAGTTAGGACCTTGTCATTCTAAGGGCACGTATTGACTGACCAATGTATCCTGCCCTCAAGTCCACGCTGATCAACGACAACACGTGCACTGAACCAGTGTAAGAGGTCTGTCCTACATTGTCTCCACGTCCACGGGAAAGGCACTTTACACAAAATTTCCTCTTTGGTTCTGTCATTTCGGCGAATGACGTTAAGTTCGGAGGTCCCACCTCTTAAATAACCTAAGAGTGTTGATAAGGGCGTTAAACCTATATATACAATTTCACCATTTTTCAGAGAAAGAGGACTGTGAAAATGCTTAACATGATTTCTGAGGACTGCAATATACTCGTACATATTTCCCCAAAAGCAAGAACAGACATATATAGACATTCATTCGTTATTGGGATTCAAGTAACAACGCCGCACGCGCTATGGTGGATTTCGTAGTGTTCCTGCTCTGTGGCTTCAGAAACACTCTTCGCAAATAATCCGCGACGGGTGGTTAAATAGCGCATCACGGTTGACAAAGAAAAAAGACCTTGCCTCGATTCTGGTCAATCATTTACTTCTTTCATGTCGTTTTGTTTCATAGGTGAAGTTACTATTCTTACCATTTCTACTTTCAGTCAATTAATAAAGCCTTTTTGTGGAGGAGGCTATGTAACTGCCTCTGAAGGAATTCTCTGTTGAATAAAGGTTTGAATTGGCTTTCTTACAGATTCGATGACTTCTACGAGGAAGATGCAGCGTTAGTGGAGAAGGGGATGGGGATTGGGGGTTGGGTGGGGGTGGTGTGAAGTG